AAATGTTTACGGTCCAGATATGTTTTTCTTGTAACCTTGCATTTTATTTAAAAATTTCTATTATCTGCTTACGATTTCACCAGGTTGTCAGAGCGAAAAAGAAAGAAACCGGAACTGTCTATGCCATGAAGATCATGGATAAGAAGTTCATCACAAAGGAAAATAAAACTGATTATGTAAAATTGGAGCGCATTGTATTAGACCAGTTAGATCATCCTGGTGTAGTGCGGTTGTTTTTTACATTTCAAGATACTTACTCTCTGTGTGAGTGTTCTCATCACATTACTAGATGTTCTATTGTTATGTTGGGTGATTTTTACGGATGTAGATGTAACGCAATGTTTCTGAATTTACTATGAAGACATGGCGCTTGAATCTTGTGAAGGCGGAGAACTTTTTGATCAAATAACGAGGGTAAGTAGAATGTGAAAGCATGTATGTTTCTATGGCTGCAATCTGTGAAAAGTCTAGTTAAATGAGTGCATCAAAAGTTGTGCTAAAATTTAGTTTTGACAATTTGATAAATGTTGTTAGATTTAGAGAGAAATGAAGATTAGAAATAAGCAAATGGAATGTGAAGTGGAAAATTGAAAGTGGTTTTCCGACTTAGGTTGCGCTTTAGGATAAATCTATGAGTGTAAAAGTAAAATTTCCAATGTTTTTTAATTTGATTTAGCTTGGAATAATGTGGATCCACAAGAAAGAATGCTCTCTCTTTCATGTCCTAATGCACCAAATAAACCTGAAACCCCTATTGCCTCCTCCCTCCCCTAAAAAAATCTGATTGCCCTTTGTTTTCTTCCCTTCCTTCCAATTAAAACTTATTATAAGACTCTTATGAATTTTGCGTTATTTCCTTTGATAGCAAGTCACCATCTCTTCATGTAATGTAGCCTTTCTTTAATGCATAATAGGCTCTGTGTTCCAACCAAATCAAATTTCTTGAAAAAGTATAATCAGGATTTAGTGCGTCATTACTTTTATTATCTACCGTAAAAACGATAATATGTGCATTAATCTTGGCCAAGCCTTTGCACAATGAAATCTTGTTGATTTCTTGTGGGTGCAGAAAGGCCGCTTGTCTGAGGATGAGGCTCGTTTTTATGCAGCTGAAGTTGTGGATGCTCTTGAATATATACATAGTATGGGGTTGATACATCGAGATATTAAGGTAGGTTGCTGCATTAAAAAATTCTATTTCATTTTAGAAATGCTAATAGTTTCTTGAATGGCAGCCCGAGAACCTGCTACTTACTGCAGATGGACATATTAAAATTGCTGACTTTGGTAGTGTAAAGCCCATGCGAGACAGTCAGATAACAGTCCTTCCAAATGCAGCATCGGGTGGGTCTTTCTTACTGCATTGTTGCTTCCAAAAAATTGAAGTCGTTTTCCTATGAACAAGAGTTTAAAGAATAATTGTCATCATTTATCCCCAGAAGATAAGGCGTGTACCTTTGTGGGGACAGCTGCTTATGTACCTCCAGAAGTATTAAATTCTTCTCCCGCAACTTTCGGGTAATGAACTTGTGTTCATTGTCTGTTGATTTATAGTTTGTGGGAATTTAGTTCATATTAATTAGTTATATCTGAAAAATGAATGATCATGAGAGACAGTTGATATACAATGAAGTGGTTCCTGCATTTCATTATTAGTCACGTGTTGTTCCAATATGACAATTTAGTTACTCCCCTAAATTATGTTCACCCAGGAATGACATCTGGGCACTTGGATGCACGCTTTACCAAATGCTTTCAGGGACTTCTCCCTTTAAAGATGCTAGCGAATGGCTTATTTTTCAAAGAATTATTGCTAGAGACATCAGATTTCCAAATTACTTTTCAGCCGAAGCACGAGATCTCATTGATCGGTTATTGGTAACCCATAATTACTCTTTCCATTTGTTTTTTATGTATTTCGTTTACTATTTTTTCATCTGATGTTAGTTTATGAAAAATCTTAAAAATTGGAAAAGAATCATGAGAAGAATGGGGAAGAAGCATCAGCGTTGTTGTGGCTGGTATGCATAGGATATAAGAGTGTTCTTTGGATGATGATCTGATATTGAAATAGTTACATCAAAATGAAGGATGTGCCTTGAAGAGTTGCAGCATTCTATATTATGATTTTTTGCATGTCAATGGGGAATATCTGTTTGCCAAAACATTCAAATTCTAAGCTGTCAGATTTTGTCTTCGTATGATTGACCACTGAAACTGTTTTCATTTTTCTTTTTAATCTAACTACAGTTCTTGGGCAATGTTGATGTAGGACATAGATCCCAGCAGGCGCCCAGGTGCAGGACCTGATGGTTATGCTTCACTCAAAAGCCATCCTTTCTTCAAGGGAATTGATTGGAATAATTTGAGGGAGCAACCCCCACCAAAACTTGCAATGGAGCCTAAAGTGCGCCCTTTTTTTTTTCTTTTTTTGTT